GCAATTGCACTGTGCATCATTTGCTTTGTGTATTATAATTTTTATTATTATCATATTATTATCATTATCATTTTATTTCAATTATTAAACTGTTTTTATCTCAACCCACGACTTTTTCTAACTTGTGCTCTTCCAATTCTCTCCCCCATCCCACTGGGCAGGGTGGGGGGAGTGAGTGAGTGGCTGCGGGGGGTGCAGTTGGTGCGTGAGGTTAAACCACGACAGCGTCCTAACTTAGGTGCTTAAGAATCATTGATATAAGAGCTTAGATCCCTTGCAGCTTTATGGGAAATTGGCTTAGAGCTGAATATCCATACTTTCAAATGAAAAATTTGTAAGCAAGCCTAAGCTATAAGCAAGTAAAACTACATTTTGATTGATAGTTTTAAATCACAAATTATAAAGTTAATTAAATTATAAATTATTATAGCTTTTATTTCCATTATAATATTTGAGTATGGTCTAATAGCACTATTTGTATTTCAAACAGGCCTTTTTTTCATAGGCACTGAAACAGGTGATATGCACCTACCTAACTTTCACTATCCTCCTAAGTTCCTGCATGGTACAAGGAGACACCGATACATATTTGATCAGAGAACAGAGTTAAGGTCCAAGCCCATTGTCAACAGCAGTGTAATGGCTCAAAATTACATCTTTGATGTCTGTATTTTCATGTTTTTATTCCACTGCAAGAGATACTGGGAATAAACAGCATGGACTAAAAGCATAATGCATAATAAAAACTACTACTTAGCTGCTATAAATAGAGGGATAACTGGCATAGCTAGAATATTAATACAGAAAATTACAGCTCAAGAGGAACAGAACAGGAAAATCTGAAGAGTTTTGCTTTATAAAATATATATACTTGTTCCAGGTTCAGCAGATAAAGAGACTAGACTGACTGAAAGTGTCTGAATAACGATGATAAGAGAAGTTTAATGATATGAATGTATCCCACAGTTTCTCTTTCTACCTTAGACTACCAAGCCAGAAAGATCAAGAAGAAAGGTTTAGTTTGAGCAACCAGAAGAACCATCAGAAGCTGGGAGTAATGGAGATGCCAGCTATCCAGATACCTGCTGAAAGAGGAATACAGCAGAACGTAGACTATCCAGTTCTTGAAATAAACTGGAGACAGGAAGCTGCGGGAATCGTCTTCTACAGTTTATGGCAGCAACAGGGAATTGATGATGTGAAAGTAGAGGGAGGGTAAGGTGGCACTGAGCATTGAACAATGGCATTCTTGTCTAAAGAAAGGAAGGAAGGAGAATAAAGACAATAGACTTCAAGCAAATAGCAAACTCGGAGAATTCATAACTCTGTGGGAAATAAGTCAAAGGGAAAAGACAGCTGTAGAATTAAAGCCACAGAAATTTAAGTTAGATGTCAGTGAAAGCTTCCTGACTATAAGGCTATTTAAGCATGAGGACAAATCATCTAGGGAGATCTTAGTCTCTCTGTCATGGGAGATTTTTAAGAGCAGCTCAGAGAATCATCTGTCAGGAAAGACACAGATATGGCTGATCCTTCCTCTGGAGTGGCCATGCCAGCCTTCCTAAATTCTCTCCCTATGATTTCTTTGATTTTTATGATCTGTGCTAATGAGCTTCCCCAAATCCTTCTTTGCCCTCTTTTTGCTGTGTTCTCCTTAGGGAATATGTCATGTGAAATAAAAATGTATTCCTTCACTGGAGTCTCTTTTGCTCTAAATTCAGCTGTTCTGAAATCAATAACAGTTAGACAGCAATAAAATCTTTCTGCCTTCCCTTCCTCAAATCAACCCTGTTTAAAGAAAAACGAGGGCTATTACACCACATATAAAATATCGATCTGAAACGTACTAAACCCACATAATAGGCGAGAAAAGCTGAGATTTCTGTTTTGAAAAGGTCTAGCAGAATTTATTTTTATTTTGTTATATAACACTCTTGTTTATTAGCATTTTATTTTTCGCTTGGAATATGGATGAGCAACCCTAAACTGATTTCCCGTAAAACAGAAAGCTGTCTGGGCGCCCCTATTGAATGGTCAGTTTTCATAGTAAAAAGAAATATTTAAAATGTACAGTGTGCTGCCAGGCGATGCCTCTTTGTAAACAACTCGTTCTCAGTCCTCAATCCATCTCCCTCAGTTTCAACAACTCTCACTAGAACTGGAATTTAGGTCATCATCATCATACCAGTCAGAGGGTGATTTTATTTGATCAGGAGGAAAAGCTGACAAGGATGACTGTCAAATGCATCCTGGCAAGTCTTGCAGAATTTGTAGCAGGCATTCTCACCTAGCATAAACCAAGGTATTCAGTGTGGCAATTCCTTCCCACAAAACTCTGTGTTTTCAAGTGTATTATTGTACATAAATGTCTCCATCTAGCAAAAACAAGATGGCAAACACACTATATTTAGCACTAACTCCAAAAATAAACTTAGTCAATGACTGTTCTGACCTCTAAATTTTAGGTGCTTGGCTCTGAAGTGGAATTTAATATTAAACAATCATTTGAAAAAGCATTAGAATAATTATGGGGGAGATCCCTGATCTCTCCTACCCTGAACAACTGCCCTACTTAATAAACTACACAGCCATGTTCATGCTCCTTTGCTTCACCAAGGCAATGAATCTTGAATTGTCTCCGAAAAGCACTCAGGAGGGATTGAATTTCTCTTTCCGATTTCCCTCCAACTCCTATGTGCGCTTGGGTAGGCAAAGAATTTCCCTGAGTGTTGGCAAGTGGGGAGCTGATGTCTGTCAAAAGGATAAGGGTCTTCTGCTTCCAAATACTGTTGTTTAAGAGGAAGCAAAAACTCTTTCTCAACTGAGTTTTAGAGGACAGCAGCAAACATCATTCCTCTTTGAATGGAGACTAATCTTACAGAAGTGTGCCAGACTTGTTCTGTTCCTGAGAAAATCCCTCAAGGGAGGCAGGCACAGGAGTGTCTGCTCTCGGGATCGCAGTCAAGCTTAAGCATGACAGAGAGGCCAAGCTGCTCTGCTACTGTCTGGGGTACATCAAAGTTAAAAAATTGAGACAGCTGCTGGGGTTACTTACCTTCAGAATTGGGTAGCAACATAGCAGGAGGTTTTGGGATTGAATTCTACTTCAAACCCACTTCAGGACTGGACTCTTAGATCCTTAAGCTGCAATCAGGACAGGACAGACAGCAGCAGATAAGCTAATCTTGACTTTTCTGGCTTCCGATCAGTTGAAATCGTTATCCATAGGACTCATTTTATGCTTTTGAGAGCTGAAATAACTGTTGTAGATGTTACATGGTGGGGAAAAGTCAACACTGTTTTGGCTCATGGTGGGTCAATTCACAGCCTCACTAACTCAGACTTTTGCTATTGGTTTTAATGGAGTGACTAAAACTTGGACTTATTTTGCAGGACTGACTGAGTTTCTTCCGCTCTAAGCAGAGGAATGCTACTTAAACATCTCTATGCTAGACAGAGATCTCAGCATGGTAGATCACAGTAAAAGTTTAGTTCCTAATCCTACAAAGACATACAACACAGTTAGCTTTAAGGATGTGAAGTGCTAAAGAAGTGCTACTCAGTTCTGACTGAGTTTTCCATTCTCTTCCGCGCTGCTAATTGCAATGAGATGGTCTCTTGAAGTCTTTATTATTCAGTTTTCTCATTTTAAAGTATGAACAGAATTTGTGAATTCATAGCTGTATTATCAGGATAAGTAAATTTTGTTGAGGCTAAACTTGTACTGAGATCTTTGCCTGGAAATTATCACATAAGAAAGGGTTGTCAGACTTGTAAGTATTAAAGTACATGTCCAGATTTTTAGAGATGATAGGTATTATCACTGGAAACCTGAAGTTATCAGAAACTTTCTTCCTCTCAAAAACACATGAGAAAGTTTTGGTCGTTGATTACCCTTCCTTGCATGTGGGTTTGCATTTCTGTATGTGCACGGTAATCCATAGTGCTTATGCATGCTCACGATCTTACAGATTTTTTTAGACTTACGGAGATGTATGTCTGAATACTGGTAAGCAGCACTGAGTCTTGGTAGATAATAAGCTTAATTTTCTTCTTCATCTGTTTTCGTTTTTCTCATTTTCCCTTGAGGGATTCATCCCTCATCTTATTATAACTTTGTGGCCATTTATTGCAAAGTTTTGGTACATTTCCTTAGTGGAATTCAGTTATTGCAACTTGTAAAGTGATATTTTTACATCCACCTTGTGACACTGACTTTTACAAAACCATCTAAACGACCATTGCTTTTAAAGGAAGCTGGGAAAAATATACTACAATAGCAGACTTTAGTTCTGGTTGAGGAAATTCTTTGACAAAGACAGAATGACTCCATTGTCTAGGGACTGAGTCCTCACCTGAGAGGAAAATCACCTCCTTGCTGTAATAATACTTTAATAGAAGTGACTGGCAGACAGCCCTCTGCCCCCTCTGCTCTCAGCGGCATATGCTGCCTCTCAGCTGAGAACCTGTGGGGCACGTCTTGCTCTTATGAGATTAACACATCTTTAAATACTTCATGTATAATGGCACAGATTCCATGGGAAAGACTGAAAGCTATTCAATCAAATCACTGATAAGAAGAGTGTCAAGGCAGTCCCAAGGAAGCAGAAGTTTGGACATCTTTAGGTAAATTCAGAAATGGAATCTATATCTGCCACATCCTGGAGAAAAACCCCAAGCTGCCAAGTATTAGATAAAAAAGGGGTTGCAGCAGCTTCTGCTGCTTTTATTTAGGACCAAACCCAGCGATTACGGTCTGCAAATTTCCTCACTGATGCCTCCTGCAGTCAGCCTGGAGGAATGCTGCACTGCTGAGCTGAATACAGTTTGTATAAATCACACCACAGTAGATTAAGACACCTAAAGTTTTTCAAAATATTTAGGCCCTTAAAGGTGAAGATAGACATCCGTCTGTGGGATTTTCACAAGTTCCTAGATGTCTAAATATAATTTGGACAATGCATAATTGGGAGTTTGGCACTTAATGTATTTGAAAATCTCACTGGGCTTTACTCATTTTACCCCAAAAGTCTAACTTTGAATTGACCTTTCAGCAAGCAGCGTTGTTTCTTCCCCTCTTCACCCCTGTTTTATACTGTCTTGGCTTTAGCAGTGTTGTGTGCTTCATTTATGCTGGAGCACAGAAGAGAAGAGTCATGTCTGAGGAATGTCTCTTTGGACACATATCTAGATTCTGCTTCCAGTTCAGGATTAATTCCAATAGCTCTGGTGCCACTGAGATCAAACCTCACTCTGTGCACAATTGGTGCTTGATATTTGTGATAAAGTCTCGATTCACCAGGTAGTAAATAGGCAAAATATATGTACACATCTACCGAGATGGAGTAACCCAAGAGGCTCAGCATCTCTGCAGTCCCTTTAATATTAAAAACACCAGAAGTATGCAGTTATGTGGTGATCCATTTGGGAGCTTACATGTGCTAAGATATATAGATTTAATATTTCACTTTGCAGAAATGGTTTATTTCCAGCAGTAAATACGATGTTTGTGAATGAGAATAGGCTATTTCAAACTGTTATAAGGCCACTGAATTATTGAATTATTACCCATCAGAGGGCAGTGTAATTTGTTACCTGTGTGATTCCAACACTCTGAATCAAAGTAATTACATTCATGGTGTCATTTAGTGAAATAATGCTGTGAAGGTGTCTATGAAGAGAGAGGCAATTGCTGAAAGGATTTTGTTGAAATAATAGCACCAATCCAATTGGTCCTCTTGCTTCATTCATTGTTACTTTATTATATGGCTAAATAGCTCATTCATGTGCTTTGCTGGAGTGAAAAATATGAGCTTTGGAAACGGTATCTATGGAGGAAAAAATGTACAGCTTCTGAGGGGAAAGCACCAAATAGTCATTTTTAGTATCACAAATGTGCAAATGGCAAATGGTAGATTAAATTTATAAAACAGAACACAAAGGCAGATTTTAATATCCTTTGAAAGTTCAGTGGCGAGATTCCACTAGTTTTGTCTAGTGCAAAGAACCGTTGGGAGATGTCTGGAGACTGTTTCAAACCACGGAGCAGTCACTTCCAAATCTCATGAACTAGGCTTCAGAAAAATATGAAATCGGTATAAAAAACCAAGGAGTTATTTTTAAGAATAAGCATTTTGGAGTTATTATTTTATGTGTGTCTGCAAACTGTAGGTACATATGTGTTCATGCATGTGAATATGAAGCGGTTTCTGTTG